GGCAGTCGGACATCTCCCGAGGGGTCCCAGACTGGAGAGGGTGCAGGCCGGGCTGAGGGACACCCTCCCCCCCACCCCATGCACCGGGCCACTAGTTCTATAATAGTCATGGTAGTTCTGCTTTCCTGATTAAACACTGAATTTTTGGTACAGGGAGTGGTTAAAGGGAAATAGGACCTTAAGGATATGAACCTTAAATTGCTTCTCTGAGTTGATAAAAGCCATTAATGACCCTGTTTCCAGTGGTAAAGGGGACACTAGCAGTCTATGGCATGCAGTGGCAAAATACTTAAATTACCACCTCAGACAAGCATAACAAAGAACCTATAAAAGACAAGGCTTTGACCCAGTAGTTGTTGCCATAGAACATTTTTGTAAAAATGAGTTGTATAATGGGTTAGTTGCTTCTAAGTACACTGGAGAACTTGGTAAAAGAAAATGAGCTCAGAGTTTTAAATTCACAGCTCAAGGTCTGGGTATGTGACTAGAAATGTTCTATGTCATATGCACACAGGGTTGAGATTGCTGAAAGGCATACTCTGCAGGCTGAATTATGATGCAAATTCAATTCACACCCTTGTGGGGCATCTTATGTTAAAGTTAGGACCGTGACTGGGAAGGAGTTGGGGCCCTGAAAATTAGAATGGAGACATATGGGCAGACTCTGATGCAGTTGAGTACCTTGAACCCCTAAATTCCACCAAGCCTCCTTTGTAAGTGCAAGTAGTTCTCCATCCTCTGTCTGAGGAAAATCATCTCCCTTTGCCTGAAGAATGTGTAGCGGCCTCCCCTGAGATAGCTGCCTTACAAGGGACGGCTGATGTTCCTGAGGACCCACCCCAAAACTTCCCATTATCTAGACATATAACCAGCCTCAAATCCCAGAAGGTCCTGGGGGTCAAAAAACGTGGCCAGTGATGATATGCAATACCTCCCAAATGGACTGCCAAGATTTGGACAATTTATCGCAACAGAAAGGTGGCAGATACATATTCCAGAATCCCCTTCCCTGTATGGTTCTGAGCTAGAGCTGGGCAAAGAGAAACATGTGCCACAGAAGACAGGAGAAGAGCAGCAGCCACTGTGCTCTGAAAGTCGGGGTGGTCTAGGGTAATGAGAGACAGATGCGGAGGCTCTGGGAGCTCTCGTTTGTCCTCACTCTTCTTTCTGCCCACTCCATGTCCTCTTTCCCACTCTGCACCCAGCTCTTCTCAACTGCCAGCCTTGCTAACCAACAGCAACCCCAGGCCCGCCAGAAACTTGACTGAGAACGCAGAGCTGTGGAAGCTCTGTCTCTGACTCCCATGCCAGTCAGTCCACTTCGGCAGTGTCATGCCAGAAGCTGGGTAGTGACAGCCTTTATGACTGCATGGTAGACCCGTGGGTGAGCAGCTTTATACTATAGGCTTCATTCTTTCATTTTCATAGGTCCTTTCGTGAACATTTTAGGAAAATAAACAATTTTAAAGTAATTTTAAACATTTCAAGCAACCTCCCTAATTTGTAGCACTCTGAGTTCCCTAAGGAAAACAAATAAAAGCAGCTTTTCAGCCTAAAAGGATAAAATAAAAGGACTTACATCGTTAGATTGAAACAACCGAGTCATGGCAAAGAAGGCTTCTGTGGCTTCTATAGTTCCAAAGTGTTCCCCCTAAGTAAAATTGAAAACAATAATTAAGGGTTTTTCTCTTTATTTCTGCAAAATTCTTTTAGAATGCAGGGAAAAAAAATTGTTTGTAAACAATGGCCTTTTTGCTTTTTCTGACATAGCCATTTATCTGCTCCTTAGTTAAAATTAACTCAGTATCACACAGCGTGCTAAAAAGTTCTAGAATAGTGGTCTCTAACTTCACAGCAGGAACTGTTTTAATACCCCTGAAGAACTGTGATTTACAAGGAGGTAGAGATGATGGCAAGTTGAGTCCCTAATCAGATTGCAATGTTATTATTACACTTCCTACAAGCAGAGATCATACCCAATACCTTTCTATAATCCAATGCCCATCACAAAGCCTGTCGTTCTCATTGGAACATAATAAATATTGGACTGCAAAAAACTATTAGGGCCCTAGCTGGTTTGGTTCAGTGGACAGAGCATCGGCCTGAGGACTGAAGGGTCCCAGATTCGATTCCGCTCAAGGGCATATGCCCAGGTTGCGGGCTCTATCCCCAGTGGGGGGCGTGCAGGAGGCAGCCAATCAATGGTTCTCTCTCATCATTGATGTTTCTATCTCTCTCTCTCCCTCTCTTGTCCTCTCTGAAATCAATAAAAACATATTTAAAAAAATAAAAGAGAACCACATTTTTTGTGTGTAACAAGGTATTAAATAACCTATTTCACTTACAGTCAAAACACTGCAGATCACAGGCTACCTGAAACATTACCATTTCAATGTAATATCTTCATTAAAGCAATCCAATAAAATGTCAGGCCCAATCACTTTCAGAACTTTAAATTTTACACAGAATATAAGTAATCTTCACTCTATTTGTCATGAGTCTAAGAATAAGCCAATTTTGATGAAACACTTTGAAAGCTTAGGATGAAAGACAAAGTGTAATAGTTTGCAATTGCTTTAATCAGAATATCCAACTTGCTCATCAGCAAGAGATTTTCCCTCTTACTTTCATAACTGCTTCCTCAATACCTAGAAGGCCAGGTACTCTTCAGTCATATTGGTAAAACTTGAGTGCCTACTTGACTTAAAACTCAGAAAACATATAAATATGTTAACTGTGGTAGAAATTTAAAAGTATTTTTCCACCAAGCTCCCCCAAGATCTAGGCAAAAGAAAAAACTAAGATTCCCAAACCTGTTTATGTATCAGCCTGTGCTTGATAAGTTCCTTATCAAGATAATTAAATGTTTCAACATGAGTTGCCCATCAAAGAGCTATTGGCCAATACAAAAGTGTATGCTACTCTGAACCAACACCAACTACTCAAAGCTCTGCTTATATAATGGATTTAGGTAACTTGGACACAACGTGTGTTATGAAAAGTTAAATCAAACTAACTGTGCCTTAAATGTTTCCAATATGATACCACAGAGGGATATGGCTTTGTGAACTTTATTTAAAAGTATGTACTTGGCCCTGGCTGGTTTGACTCAGTGGTTAGAGGGTCAGCACGCGCACCAAAGGGTCCTGGGTTTGATTCTCAGTCAAGAGCAGGTACCTGGGTTGCGGGTTTCATCCCCAGCCCTAGCTGGGGCGTGTGCAAGGGGCAACCAATCAATATGTCTCTCTCACATCAATGTCTGTCTCTCTCTCTCTCTCTCTCTCTCTCTCTCTCTCTTTCTCTCCCCCCCACCCCCTTTCTTTCCCTTCCATTCCACTCTCTCTAAAAAAAAAAAATCAATGGAAAATAATATATTCGCTTCCACTCTCTCTACAATAAATGGAAAAAATATCTTCAGGTGAGGATTAACAACAACAAAAGTATGTACTCATTGCTCAATCTCCATGTGCATACAAAACTTTATTATGTCTCTAGATGAAGTCTTCAGTCATGAATCATAATAAAGATAAAATATTCTCATGGAATTAAAATCGGAAACCACAGTCTTCATATATTCGCTCCCACTCTCTCTACAATAAATGGAAAAAATATCTTCAGGTGAGGATTAACAACAACAAAAGTATGTACTCATTGCTCAATCTCCATGTGCATACAAAACTTTATTATGTCTCTAGATGAAGTCTTCAGTCATGAATCATAATAAAGATAAAATATTCTCATGGAATTAAAATCGGAAACCACAGTCTTCTTAGCACCATATATAAACCATCTGAGAGTGTGAGGGTGTATGTGTGTATGTGTGTGTGTATAAGAAACAAAATCACATTTTCTAAGGCCCTAGAAATTTTATGAAATGTTTTAAGTCAACAAGAACAAAAAAATAAAATACATTTAAAAATTTAAATTAGTAATAATAATGGCAAATAGAAGCTATTTCATTTAGGGCAAATATTTTTGTTGGTTTTGTCAGTTATATCCCAGTGTCTAAAACAGTGCCTAGGACAGCAGATTAGTAATTAACATTTGCTGAATGACTGAATGAAAACTATTCCTGAATGCTTACTATGTATCCAGGACTATTCTCAATGCTTTATATTTATTATCTCAGTTAATCACTACCACTTCATAAAACAGATATTATTGTAATCCCCATTTATAGAAAAGGACATTAAGGAAGAATCATATTATTGTAATGGTGGAGTAGGGATAATAAATATAAAATTTGAATATTAAACGCAAAGCTTTAAAACATCACTATATACCCACCCAGACCCCAAAAAGGGTACAGTATCTATTTAGAATATGTCTAAGGTTCTGCACTATATTTTTAGAGGAACATAAAGACCTCTGAACCATTCTAAACAACAAGTTTTAAATTAACTAACACTTGTTAAATTCAAATCAATGCTGAGAATCTACTATGTGCTTAGCTGATTTAGTACTTCATGCATAAAAGTATATGTCACAGACCTTGCCCTCAAGAAGTTTTACATATTATTCTATTAATCAAACATTGTTCATTTTTTAAATAAGTGAATTTTTAAAAAATAATTATACTTACCAGAAAGTACTTTACTACATGTTATGTATTTCTATTCCAGGCCACAACTCTGAAGAAAATTAAAATAATTTACCTGGTTCAGTAAGTAGATAATCTTTGTAAGAATATGCAAACATCTTCTTGGATTAATGGGTGTTTCATTGAATAGACGAGCCTGGAAACAAAACAAAAATCAGTTATATATATTTTCTACTTTTCTATCTCAGATTACAGAAAATCAACCTTAATAAAATAAAGACTATTATGTATATTAATAACAATATACAAATAATGTTAACTAACTATAGTTTTCCACTTATAATGATATATGATAACTTATTAAATGTGACCTTGATTTTCCATTTTATACTGTCTTTCCCTTAGATATTCTGCTTCAACTTTGTAAGCACTGTTAAGAATCACAATATTTACTGACATCACCTGAATATAATGAGTTTAATATCTATAACTTCCTTCAATAACCTTGCACTAAATACCTCTTCTGGCATTTTCTTTAAAATTCTCAACATGTGGCCCTGGCCAGGTGGCTAAGTTGGTTGGCGTGTCATCCTGTACACCAAAAGGTTGTGGTTTCCGATTCCCAGTGGGGCCTGTACAGGAGGCAACCGAACGATGTTTCTCACATCAATGTTTCTCTCTTTCTTTCTCTCTCTAAAAATCAATGAACACATCCTCCATGAAGATTAAATACATAATTCTCAACATGTAGCACAGTCTGAATGTTTTTCGCATTTCTCTCTCCTCTGACAAGCAAACCCTTTTCCTTTTCCCTCAAGTCTATATTCTCTGAACTCAGTTATATTCCTTAATTCTTACTTTGGATCTCAGCATTCCAGGGGCTCTCTGCCCACCATTCTAAAATGGAATGGAAAAGAAGAAACACCATATATTTCCGAGCCATACCTCCTGTAAGACAGTACTCTTCTCCAGATGCCGAAAAGGGTTGGAGCCACTACCTATAGTATAAAACAAAACATATCTTTAATAGCTGCCCTGCACAAACTTACTTTCTGCCAGATACTGAATGTTTGGGATCTCTCACCTAAGTGAAGCGACCACTTGGCTATATCACAGTGATCATCATCACTACTATGCATATAAACTAAATATAATCATTTTTATTCGGAAACGATGCCTGTCACTGCTTTCTTGTAAGATCTTGTACTTCTGCAGGAACCCTGCCCAAAATGAGTGTCTTCTTTGCTCTGCCCTCTTCTCATATGAATATTATACAAGTATCTGTCATGTCCACACGACCAAGAGTAATGAGATCATGGTTGGGCCCTTTGGAGTGCCCTAAAGGCTAGCACGACTGTATGTGTTTCTAACATTCATTGTGAGGCAGAAAAGAAGAGTCTAGCAGATAATCGCATACACTGAAAGGTGGAAGGGGCCACGGAGGTTTCACTAACCCAACCCTCTACCACTCCTTATGAGAGCAGCTATCAAACACCGAGTTTTGTTTTGTTTGTTTGTAAGGTGGCTTAAGTACCTTCCTCTTCTGCTCTGGGCCAAGGTATCAGGGCCAACTCACTTTGGGACGCATGGAAAGGTCTATGCACCATGCGCCAGGTAGGACCTCTGGGAAGCAGACCGTGTAAAGACCCCCGGGAAGACTGTGAGGCTCAAGGCACTTCCAAGTTCACACACACACACACACACACACACACACACACACACGCTCCGGTGGACCCGAGACTCGCTCTGGGCCTCGCACGCCCAGCACCCCTCGCCTCTTACTCTTGCACACACATCCCCTCCCTCCGCCACCTCCCGGCTCCCGCCGCCGCA